TGCTAATAGGAATATATTGGCGAAACAAGAAGAAAAATCAGCATACAAGTAAAGGAACATCAAAGGTTTTACAGGAAAATTGACGCTAAGACGAGAAATAGTTGAAAAAATCGCAAAGACCAGACACGAGATCAATTATAGGGAAAAGGGAAAAAGGGCCCCATCAATGAAAACACCAACGGAAGATTATGGAGGCCATTTACATCTCGAGGGAAAAAAATAATAAATGCCAAATATGAACGAAGCATAATTAGCAACAGCTTTGTCCATTTCCTAATCAAACTCAGTGAAAATATGGATACAAGATATGCAAAAAAGGGACGCCTGGATCTTGGACTTCTAACTAACCTATGGAAAATGGATCACAAGAAAGAAGAGGGTAAGGAGGTTTTGGAAATCAAGCGAAGACGTGCTCAGTGAGTCTAGTTTGCTTTAAGAACCACCTATAAATCTGGAGGCTGACGGTCATGCGACTAGGGAAACGGATTATCATTATCATTATATAAATTTGGCCTTAGCCAAATTGACTAGAAATCAACACGAGGTAGCAGGCAATCAGAGATATAAGTGCAGTGTGCCCAGGGTACATCGGTTTAGGCAAATGAATGGCGCGTGCACGCAATGAACAATGCCAACAAACATCAGAATCAGATATATGAAATGCATTCACCCTATTTCATTCAAGGTGATAAAGGATTAGTAGTTAAATTTTCCGACCGATAGGAGCAGAGCTGTTTCCACTAAATTTAACATAGGCTTGCTTTCCCAAAAGTTGTTCTCCAGAGTGGAATGCGGTTTTGACTTGGTCTAACTCTTATCAACACCCCCAGTGGGAGTAGGACCAGGACAGTGCGGCACATTAGCCACTCCAACACATTGCCTCTAGTGCCATTGGGATTGGACGAATGTGAATTTCAAGGAAGGCCACATTTTATGATGGTATTGTCGATGAGGCAAAGATATATTTGCTATAGCAATCGACTACATTACTTATTTTTCGTTAATAAGCAGATTTTCGAGACTACCAATAAATCAGTTGCATGAAATGTATTCAATCTATTTCGTTTAAGATGATGGACTGGCATGTGGAAAAATGCAGCTAGTAGTCCATCACCTGAATGAATCTCATATAACTGATTTGCCGGTAGTCTATTGTTATGGTAAATACATCTTTGCTTAATAAAAATACTATAGAATCTTATATGGGGAAAATGCTTGGCCCGTGCCGTTCGACTCCCACTTGGGATGTTGATAAGACCTATGCGAGGTCGAAACAGCAATCTACCTTGGATTGGAAAGCAAGGTCGTGAAGGTCAGTGAGAACGTAAGGTCTATTCATATCACTGAGGTCAAATTTAACTACCAGTCCTTCATAGTGAGCACAGTGTGTACATAATGGCAGTTTCGAAAACGAAGAAATAAACAAACTTAAAACTGCACACTTCCTTAACACTATGTGGCATATGCATCAGGTAATTATCGTGAGCAACCCTCTACTTTCAGGGCCACGTTTATGGCCAAGCCCGTGTACTCCGAAACAAGCGTTTCTGATCCCAACCGCTTCGGCGATTTCATCCATCACGCCAAGTCCGTGACTCCGCCCCAAGCAGTGCACAAGGATTCCTCTAATCGAGTATTCTGTTTATTAGATTCCTTACAGCCTCTCGAATCTTGAGTTTTATGTCTTTTCACCAGTTGCGGCTGAGCTTTTCACTAATCTTCTCTCCTAGCCGACGTACGGAACACGAGTCTTTGTCGTCGCTAAGCGTAAATCGCCACCCGATTTAGTTGGTAGTGTATGAATAGCATACAATTACATAATATTTTAATATTATAATTAACCTGAGTGCGCCCGTAATCGTGCAAAGTAATTACTAGATAGTAGACTGAACTTTCGATGTAAATACATCCAGCAGGCTCGAAACCGTTGGGCTGATTTGCAGTCAAGCATCTACCCCATGGATTAAACGTGGGCAATGAAAAGAAAGGTCGGGTTTTGAGGGATATGATGATTTATAATTGTTAAGTTCATTTCTATTTCAAGTGAAAATACTTGGTGGAAAGACTCGAAAATCGATCCCGCCAAGCATCAGCAGATTCCTCTTAATCGACTCTTGAATGGCCTTACTGGAAAATGTATATATTAAGTGTATTCACCTTGTCATTTAAGGTGATATAGGGACTGGTAGTTGGCGCAGTGTCCGAGGCAACTATAACGTTCCGGCAAGGCCAATTGACACCTGGTAAAACTCGCGGGGTCTGATGTAAAAGGGGATTATGCATGAATTTAAATTTTATATCTTGAATGTGTATAATTAATGGTAATAAATGTTCAGGATGCCGAAATTTGCTTATAGCTATGTTTATATAAAAACGTTACGGTGAATTAGCTGTGGCGGTTTTTTTGAGTTCTGACAAAATGCAATAACTGGTAACTAATAGCCACATGAGCTAAACCAAGGTCGCGGCTCATTGCAACCGAGGTATTCATCTGACGAATTTTGTCCGAATCGTATACGAGAAACCCAGACTGAGAAGGTATTATCTAAGATCTACTGATAGTTTCAAGGCCTACCTAAGTGGAAATAAGTGACAGTTAATTGTAATGGCCAAACATAAATTTGCCCCATTGAAAATCTCACTACGAATGCGGCGTTGAATAAGCCTGGGCTTCCTTGAAATTCACGTCTGCTTTGTGATCCAGTGGCACCCTTGGAAGTTTTGCGCAATGATAACGTGTCGAGATTACAAGCTGCACCGGCTAGGTTCGAGCCACGCCAGTTATACTGATGAGACCTATGAATAATAGAAAACGAAGTCCACCACGAATCATAATAATTTTTTGGAAGCAAGGTTAAGTCAAACTCGATGAAAATGAAGCCCAATCAGCACCGAGAGGGAATTCAACTATCAGTCCATCATCGCCTTATGAGACCTAGGGCAACTGTGACTCTTATTCAGGATTTGTTGATAGTTTCTAAATCTATTTCGAACAAATATTACCTCATAGTGAGACAATACGAGGCACCAACATCTGACTAATTTTTATACTCATCAAGGTTAATACACAAGTGGCTGGTTGTGATTAGCTAGTGATTTTATTAGCTGATGACCCATACCACCAGCCACTAGCTCGCTTGACTCATAGGTCACTGCATATTAGAGGAATAACTAATCGATCAGCTTCTTCATGCATCATTACAGCAAAGTATGCAATAAACTAGAATAAACATTATACCAAAGTTGGCTTCCAATAGAACCCATAAAACTATGTTCGGCAGCCATGCTTCAGGAGTTTCAGCAACACATGAGATATTGCTTGAAGGAGAACACACCGCTTCGTTCGTCATGTTCCACCCTCC